TTTAGCTATTTCAGAATACAAATGAGAATATATTATCATGGACTTTATAGTATAACTCCCAATCACCAAGTCTGAATATGATACTATAGTAGTCTTTATAGATAAATTATCAAAAAGAGCATATTCTATATCAACTACAATAATAATAATAGTATCTGATATTGCAAAGATTTTCTTTGAAAATATCTTTAAATTATATGACTTACCCGTAATTATAATATCAGATAGAGATGCAAAATTCACAAGTCACTTCTGGAAATCTTTTTTTGAATAATTAGATATTAAACTTGCTATATCTACAGCCTTTTATCTATAAACAGATGGCCAAACAGAAAGACTAAATAGAATCTTAAAAGAAATATTAAGAATATATATTACCTATCAGTAAAATAGATGAAATAAAAATTTAGCAGCTGCAGAATTCACTTATAATAATAGTAAAAATATTTCAACAGATTATATATCTTTTGAATTAGATTGTGAACAAGCATCTTGTACATCAATCAATATCTTGTCATAGTAAAATAATATTATAGCCTTTCAAGATTTCATGGAATATTGGAATATCATGATAAAAACTGTCAAAAATTTACTATTAGAAGTTCAAAAAAGACAAAGTAACCAATATAGAAGATTTGAAAAATTCAATCTTGGAGATAAAGTTCTTCTTTCTACTTACAATATAGAATCTCCAGTTGATAAACAAAGGACAATCAAGAAACTCACATCAAAATTTATTGGATCCTTTAAAGTTATTACTAAAATATCTTTTACCGCTTACAAATTACAACTATCACAAAACATAAAATTGCATCCAGTATTTTATATATCACTTCTAAAGAAATATAATCCTGATGATGAATATAATAGATATTAATCATCACCAGCAATCATTATCTCTGATAATGAAGAAGAATATGAAGTAGAAAATATTCTTGATAAAAGAATTCATTATTGCAAATTCCAATATCTTGTCAAATAACTAGATTATTCTCTTTATAATGCAACTTGGAAAGCTCTAGAAAGCTTGAAAAATATTATAGAGAAGGTTAATATTTTTGAAAAATCATGCTCTTAAATATAATAAGAATATTGTACTTTAAGTAGAGAGATATATAATAATTTTGATTGGATTATCTCTTTTTAGATCTTTTTTAGTTTAGATCTTTATTTTGCACTATTTGTATAGCAGATTAGCTTTGTATTACATTTTTAAGAAAATCATTTTCACTCTGGATATACAGATGATCATTATGTATTTAATATATCTAGATTTAGCATATTATTATTCAGATGATCACTATGTATATCACAATTATAAATTTAGATTATTAATGTTTTAATTAATTATTTCTTTATAATTTTATTCATTCTTTTTATTATTTATTTATATTATTATTTATTATTATTTATAATTATTATTATTTATTGGATTATGATTAGTTGCCCTCTGAAAACATGAATTAAGTTAATTAATTCTGTTTAACCCATATGTATTTTAATTAGAAATTATTATTAATTTATTCACATTTTGTATTCATTTCTTTCTTATAAATATGATCTGTCTGTTCTGTACTTTTATCTTCAGATCTGAATACTTTTAAATAATAAAAATAATCATAAGTTATAAAATTGAAACTTATTTATATCATATTTTATCTTGTTTACAACTATTAATAAAATAATCTTACATAAAATTGATTTTTTCTTTCAATTAATATCTAATTAAATATTTATAATCAAAATTATTAAGAGAAAGAAAAAACAAGAATCAAATAATTATTTTACTTTATAAAAATATGATTAGTATAAATAAACTAAAGTTATATAAGAAAATATAAATAAAAAATAATATTCTTAAATATTAGATAAAATTTTTAAATACTATTTTTTAAATCAAATATAAAAATCTTTTGCTCTTAATTAATAATATCACTTTTTATATAGTTAAAAAATAATTAGAGAATGTGTAAGTTTATTTTTTGTCATCTAATATAATAATTTATTTATAATTATGTAATATCAGAATAATCAACTTATTCAAAGTTTATTGCTAAAAGTTATATTTTTAATATATCTTGAAAATTATAAATATTAAAAAGAAACTCCATTTTAATATCAAGAAAGTAAACAATTTTATTATTAAAGAATAAAAAAATATAACTTTTCAGATAATTATTAATTGTTAATAAAAAACTAAGATAGTATTAGTAGATAAATAAGCTTGATCAAGTTCAGATATATATAGTAAAGAGAATATTAAACTGAAAATTGATATTGAAGAACTGATTACTAGCATCTCTTTTTTAATATCCTAGTAATAATAGCTGAAGAATATATTCATATTGATAACAATTTGAAAATTAAAGAAGTTATTTTAAATAAAGAGATTATAATTAAAAAAATTCTTTAAAAATCTGATTCTGATAATAGTAATAAAGATAACAAGATTAATATTGAGAAAATTCCTTATTTTATTATCTTTGAATAATGCAAATTACTTTTGTAATATATTAAATAATAAGATCTGATTAAGTTTATAAAAAAGCTGGATTTGCTAATATTATAAAGTTTATTACAATATATTCAAGTAAAAATATTAGAAATAAAACAGCAAAAAAATTGATAGTTTTTGATAATATAGAAATCTTTTTTGGAAGAAAAATGAATGAGCAAGATAGAGATCTATTTTGAGAGGATAATGGATATGAGATAGAGCTTCATTTTGAGACAGTAATAAGATAGAAATCTATTTTGAGAGAGTAATAAAGTGTTCATTTAAGTTTTATTTTAGAAGCCAAAGCCCACTGAATAAAAAGGCTAAATATAGCTTGTTAAATCAATTAATTGATTAATTAACTAACTTTATCATCAATCAATCAAAGTTATTAAATCAATTAATCTTACCCTAACTCTGACCCTTTGAGTTATCAACCCTCTTATATATTAACCAAAATACTTGGTCCCATGAGGTTGATATCTGAGAGGTGAGACTGTAATGATGCAATAAATCTTTGTATGACTTGGCTGATAAGAGTGCCGCATAAGTCATTACTTATTGTAAAATCAACAGAGTTTATATGAAAGAAACGAATCAACGGTAAACATTGTTTAAGTGTGAATTTTAATTGTGTAAATTCGTTTTGTCCATTTCTCTGCCGGGATCGAAAAATCAACATTCTCAGAATTAGAGACTTGAGCAGTTCCCCATTCAAGAACCCTCTCCCAAATATCGATTTCTTGAAGATTCGAATCATCACGTCTGAGCAAAGAAACTAGTACAGTCTCTTGCAGTTTTGCAAAATCATTCGAATGAAAAATAACTGCAGGATTTTTACATGCAATATCTGTGCTGAATTATGAAGTTTGATTAAATAAGGCAAAATTTTCAGTCATAGAATCGATATGGTGCTTCAAAAGAAAGTCTTGAATGTATTCGATTAGATCATCAAGAATCAACTCATCTACAACAATCATCAAGTGTAAAAGTGTTGGCACTCCATGTTCTTTCAAGTCAATTTTGCCGCAGTACATATATCGAACACATAAAATAAATTTAATATTATTTGTTTGTCTCGTATATTGAACATTAACATAATTAATTTACCTTAATAGATTTCAAATAATTTGGTTTCTTAAAAACGATCATTTTATTTGGTTCTCGCTTCACCCACGCATCAGAAAGTGCCGTAGCAAAATATTTGGACTGCGCCATTAAAATTGACGAATGTGCGGTAAAGGTGCGCTGTGCATTTCCATCACCAAAAATTGCCCTTTTCGTAAAGTTTTTTTGAATGCAAAGTCAATAGTGAGTCGGTAGTCATTTTAGTCATTTTATTTTGATTTTAAAGTTAGTGTTTCATATTAAATGTACATGTGCGACTTCAGAGACAAAATCAATTGGTGCTCACTCTGGATATACTTACCATCAGAAATTATGCAGGCATAGCCTGTAACTATTTACAATATAAGGATAGGATAGTATTAGAAAATGCCAAAGGCTTGGTTTTAGTGGAACCATAAACCGGGAGCTAACTTTTTTGTCGGTTGTTATAATTTTTAATCCATGAAATTAATTTCAGGATATTTTGGACGTGTTCCAATGTTAAGACGCAAGTATGATTGTGCTGTTATTTAATTTATTTAGTACGATTATTATGCCATGTACGAATTTGATTGGCTTTGAATACCGAATTTTTCGGTTGTATTTTGAATAATTTACAAGGGTTCCTATTCAAATAGGTAAGAATAGATGATTGTTCTCAGACATTCCATGATTATTTTTTATTCATAGTGATTTTGACGCGTTTTGATTACTTTGATTCGTGCCATTTTTAAGAATTAAACACGTAACACGTAAAAGATCAAACGAATTAAGCAACGAAAATCATAAAAATGCATTTTATTTGTATAATCTGGAATGTAATGATGTTTTCGCTTCTTGGAATACATTTTGTTAAAAAATATGACAATACACTTGTTACAGAAAATTGTATAATAATTGTAATTTATCAAGCGTATAATGTACCCTTCTTACACCATTAATAAAATCAATTTGTACAATAGACCTTCCCGGATGTAAATCAATTTTTTTGCTATGAAAACTGTAACACACCTCGGGCAATCTATGCAACAAAATACGGTTCTTCTAGTGCTAATGACGAGGGTAGCGCATGTTGAAACAACCATAATGACAAACATGATACAGAAAAAAGATTCACTGGTATAAAGAGTTTTCAAAATCTAATAAATTTTACAGTTGTATGTTAGACGTTAACTATCGAGATCAAAATTTAGCAACAGACCACATAGAACAACGAACAAAAACTCTGGGCTACTGATGAATATGCTGAATGCTGAAGTTTTGAGGTGAATGATGATGATAGTTTGAATAAAGAAAAATTTGAACGAAGAAAAGAGATGATTGTAACATTGGGAGAATAAATCTTTTTATTTATGTATCGGTACCTCGCTAAAACTAAACACATAGAAGCTTTGAGCTACTCAATTTTGAAATAATTATAAATAATAGCGACTATTTTATCAAATTTCCTTTTTATATTTCTACGGTCTCGGTTTGGTAAATCTAAAGTAAGATTAGTAAAATTAGGTGGATTCGCCTTCCAAGCATCGAAAAGGATTTTCTCTTCCTATATTTTTATAATGTTAAATAATCTTTTTTTTTACTTTATGAATAAAACGTTAATTTGAAAATAATTACGTTACTTCGCTGGTCCATTTTGAAGATAATTTTCCACTGCCATACGCTTTGGGATTATTCTTCTTATTGTTCTTATTGTTGGGACGACGTTGTTTGTTTCTCGTCAAAGATTGCCTCAAGCAACCATCCTTTTTATTTCGATTCGACAACTGAATCTCTGGTTTCGAATCAGACTTGATTTCAATTGATTCACTTTGACTTTGGGAAATCGAACAGACATTTGTAGAAAAAGATGCTGCTGAGGTAGGATTGGAACTAGAGCTTTCTTCCTTTTTTATAAATATTATTTCATCTTCCAGTTCTGGCTTAATATGAATGATATTAGACATGTTTGTTTTATTTTGCTTTGATTTGTACTTTATTGTTGCCTTCGTTATTTATAATGTAATTCAAAATCTTATTTGCCCTTTTTGAATATATTTTGCTCTAGAATTTAATCTTAACAAGCATATCTATAGTACATTTTATCACGTCGGTTTGGAAGGAATCAATCCTTTATCACGTATGCAGTAAATTACTTGGCACTTTTTATTATACATTGTCTAGTGTTTTCTATATTGAAATTATCGTGCATTATAGTTAAATATACAACAAGTTTTTAAAATTGAATTAATAATTTGTCCGATACAATGTACATACGTATTTTGAAAATTTGCATCGAAAGTTGAATTACAGTATATCACCAAGAAAGTGTAAATTTTATGATCCATTTTTTAATGATGCGCTAGCATAAAAGTTTCAATTAGCAAAACTCGATTCCTTGCGCATGAAAGAACTCGAAAATTCCAAAAGAATTGTGTGTGTATGAGCAAAAGTTTTTATAAGAAAAGATATAGCCTTGATGACGCGTACCATATGTACATGTCAATATGCTCGGTTCCTCATCACATGCACTTCACAAACAATAAGGATGCGCGGATTTTCTGATCATCCCGGTAAAATAAATCCGGCGCAAAGAATGAAAAACAAAATGCGGAAAAAATCTAGCTTGTAGCAATATTACCCAGCTCTAACTTTAACTCTAATCTTAATGACAAAATCACCTTTTAATAGTTGCCGACTCACATATGATTTGCGAATTCTTATTGGTTAATTAGCATATGACCAGAAACAGAGCGAATGGTATAACTCGTATCGATAAAAATAATAATGCCAAAAGGTTATAAGTTATAACGATAACTCTTTTTTAATTGAAAGAATTCTTTTTTACAATTCGAATGATATTGAAACAGCGTAGCACATCAATAATTGCCTTTCTTATTTTCTAGGTTATGATATTACATGTACATTTACTTGTGGATCGGTCGGTATTCATTTGTAATTTTGAGATACTATTAATTATATTTTTTTTATTAAATTAAATCTATATAAGATTAAATTTAAAAATATAATTAAATAAATCACAAATATGAGGCGATGTTACAATGGATACCGACACAGTCTTCTAAAATTCCATTATTCATTGCTCTTTTGCTTGCTATTCTTTTTATTAATAAATTCATATTATACTATGCACTTCTTAATTCAAATTCCGAGAAGAAGCTGGAATTTGTTTGACAATTAAGTTATTAAAATGTGTTGAATTCCTGTGAATAGCATATGAAATAAAAGAGTCCGAATAATAATTATTCATATCATTAAGGTAGATATAACTGCTAATGCTAATTGACACACAGAAAAGGTATATTGAATCATCAAAGAGTAAGCAAAATATAAAGTATACAAATGTTTTCGGATTTGATCTCGGATTTATTTGATTATTTTTTCTTTAAAAAATAATTGATTCAACAAATAACAAATTTAACGCGTGCTTTGCTATTTATGCGGTGGTTGTTGTTACAATTCTAAATTCAAAATATAAAAAGACGACCAAATCTAGTTCTGAAAAATTGCAAATTTTCATTGTATAAAATTACTAAGTACAGATCATGCATTCGAAATATTCTGAGGAAAAATTTACTTTTATTAAAAAAATTACGTCATAAAATGGTTTAAATTTCTTAAAATTAGTGGTGGTGGCTCTTCTAAAAAGTTCTTTATTTATTAAGTCATATATTTTCTATGGAACCGCTATGCTTTTTATAACGAATTAATATAAATTTTAAAAATTATATAAAATGGGTTTGTCGCATCCACAGCGAGAAATTTATGTGTCAAAAATATAATAATAATTAATAAAATTCAGATAAACAACTTCTCCTTTACATAGACAATGAATGATCATAACGAAGTTAACTTCAGGTCAATCCATATCAGCTGTTTCTTTAAAATATCGTGCAGCTCGCGTTATTGTATGTTTGCTAGTTCGTTGTTGATTAAAAAATTATGATATAAGTAGTATCCGACCCAATATTTTGATGTTTAAACGCTGTTGCTAACGAAAATTAGCTAATACTGGTTTTATCTTCATTTGGAACATACTAATACAAACTAATACATGTACACCGACCTGACAAAAGTATCCGGACAAGATTGGCAACTAGAAAATCAACGCCGATTGTAGCAATGTATAATATTTTTTTATTGAATGCGCTTAATTTTCTAGTTTAAAAAAATAAAAATTGTTGGAGTTCTCTGTAGAAAATGCCAATTAATTACTGCAAAATTTAGATGCATCAATTTCTTATAGAGAGACTAGCAATTTCTTTACATTCTCTGTAAGCTCTGATCTTTTAGGTATTACTCATTTTAGACACCATTCAAAAAAAAATTTATTTTAAAAAAAGTAAAAAAATATCAAATAATTTGGATACTTGATTGCTAAGATAAGTATATGCACCTAAACACCCGTAAAGTGCATGTTTTACATGTTTTCCATGCATTTATAAGATGCAAATGTATCGGAAACACATGTAGAACATGCATTTTATGGGCTTTATGCATGTTTATATGCGAAAAGGCAAAAAAGAAATCAGTAAAAATATTAAGTTATCCTAAATTCATAGTTGGTAATGTAATAAAAACTCAAAGATCAAGATCAAACCATTTCAACATCACATTCTGAAATATTAAATAATCATGTAAATACTTAAATAAACAAATCGATCTAGAAAATATAAATAGAGCAGATATTGCTAATTCTAATTGTAAAAATTTATTTAAAGTTAATATATAAATTCTCTCAAAATACCAGTTAAATTTAGTAATTACAAAATTTATTAATTTTATTCAAGTGGATATTACTGAATTTCTAGTAAACTAATATTTATAAAAAAAGATGTTTTCCAAGAGCTTATGATTTAGGGATTTTAATAAAAAAATAATTATAAAATTTTGAATTACTGGTTGTATTATAAATTGCATTTAATTATTTTATATTAATTTTGGCTGAAATGATCAACTTTCAATTATTTCAAATCATATACATAAATAAATTTGATTGTTAATAAGAAGAAATCTAGAAAATATAAATATATCATTAAATAGAGCAGATATTATTAATTCTAATCATATAAATTTTATTTTAATGTTAATATATAATTCTTCCAAAAATATTTAGTTGAATTTCATTTAAATAATAATTACAGAATTTCTAGTAGTCCTATTTGTATAAAAAGATATATTTTGAAAGCTTAGTATTTGAGTGTCCTAATAAGAAATAATTACTATATTTTTGCAGAATAATATTTATCTTCATATTATTTTAAGTATCTGAGTAATATTTCAAGTAAGCACAAAATAAATTAATATACTTAAACTTAAACTTGAAGCAATTTCATATTTAGAAGCTATATTCAACTATTATACTTTTTTATATTACAAAATCAATTAGAAATAGATTCAAGAATAGCAAGAATAAAAATAAATTATTCAAAATTATACTCAAGATTGAATTTATATTAAAGAAAATTTAATTTATATATATTTTGTTTTTTGATAGATTTGATATAAAGAATTTACTAAATAATCTGCAAGACTATATAATTATAAGTTATCTCTTAATTAGTTTTTCATTAATTAATTTATAATTTTGTCAATTAATACTCTAACTCTTTATCAAATTAATTAATTCTCTAAGTTATAATACTAGTTTTTACTTATGAAGATAATTCATTGGCTATTATATTATAATTTTATTATTTAGTATTTATAAACTTAGAAAAAACTTTTATTAATTAGTAAATATAAAATAAATTAATAATAATTTGAAAGAATATATATAATTATTTAAAAATAATAATAATTTTTATTTTATTTAATAAAAATTTATTATAATTAAAGTTTTATTAAACTAATTTCTTAATTTTAAATAATATTTTTCTATTCTAAAGTTCTTTCTATTTATAATCAAATTTTCTCTTACCATTCTTATTATAATTCTAAATATTATTTTGCAATATCATAAATATCTAATACTAAATATATATTATAACTTTACTTATTGAATAGATATTTATCCATTATAATTTCACTTATAATTATTCTAAAAATATTTATATTATATTATTAAGACTAATAAATTATTTTTATTTTGATTTATTATTTGATATCTTATTGATATATTTTTATATATTTAAGATTTATTAATATATTTTATATTAAATCATCTTCTTAATAATATATTAATCTAAAACTTTATATCACTATATCTGATTATATATACTAACTTTATTAACTCTATATATTATTAATTTTACTGATTCTGTAAATTTAAGATCTATATAATAATATAATTCAATTTTATATTATAGTATATTATTTTCTCTTATTTTAATATAAAATTTTTGATTAAATATATTATAAAAAAGATATTATTATCTTTATTTCAATTCAAAGCTTGATAATTAGTTATTACTACCATTTCTAAAACTAATATTGTGCAAGACTCTTTAAATATAAAATTATAATCTGGATTTTTCTTATTTTTCTTATATTATTAATCTTATAAATAACTTTAAAATTCTTTAGCTATTAAACTAAGTCACTCTTTTCTTTTTTATTAAAAGTTAGAAATTCAATATAGTACAATTTCTTTATTTTTCTCCTTTTATATTGGTCTAATACTAATATTATTATATTAACTAATTTTATTTCTTTTCATTTAGTTTAATTATTACTAACTTTATTTTGTTATTTGAATCAAGATCTGTTCTATAAATAACTGCTATTTCTCAAAGTACAGTTAATCTTGTAAGAAATTTAATATTATTAAAGATAAGACTATAGTTTCTTAAATACTTTCTCTTTTTAATTATTTGTTATTAATCTCTTTCTTCTCTCTTCTAACTTTTCAATTAATCTGGCTTGCCAAACCAAAAACTGTTATCCAGTAGATTAGATATGAGGAATCTATCAAGTATAATCTGTGAGACTGTATGATTATGAGTTA